AGGGGGGTCTTCAACACCATGAGCTAAACGAGGTTTACAGGATCGGTCGACAAAGGTTTCCTCAGCCGACAGATCTGCGTCTAGACTGCCGCGCTGTGTCAGATCAGCTGATCGTCAGCACAGTGTGGCACAGCCTGAGACCTCCTGCTTCTGGGATGGCTGCGATAGGATCAAGTTATTTACAGGGGACAGCTTGGAATCCTGGCAGCCAGTGATGGAGATGACCCTGTTCCACTGGGTGCCCTGTAGCTCCTCCTGACCCCAAAGGATTGTCCCCTGCGTGAAAGTCACCAGTGCTTTGTCCAGCCTAAATTTACAGGGGGTCCCCGCTCTGCCCTGGGGTGTCTGTGCCCTTATCTGTTCGGTCTCGCTGTCTGGCTGCCATTCCCAGCGTTCATCCAGCTGTTCCCTCTGACAATGTTCTTCCTGATACTCCTAGAGCTTCCCCCCAAGTGACCTTTCTGGGGCCTGGCTGTGCTCACCTGGAGGGGAAGGCTCCAGCTTCCTGACCAGAAACCCACATCTCATCCCCACGGGGTGGAAGATAAAGGCTTTCAGAACTGCAACCATAACTGCCCCACCCCTCAGGCCCCCTCTTGATGGTTTCCCAACCTCTCCTCCTTCCCATCAGTTGTCCTTCACCTGAGCCGTCCCGTCTGGTTCTGTCTGGCTCTCTAGCCTAGAGTGGCTGTTGCTCACACTTGGTGCCCAGATGCCACAGTGAGGGGCATAGGATAAGTGCCCAGGGAGGCAGGTGAGGTTGGAGGACACGATACTGGACCTGTTTCCATGGCGACGGTAACACTGATGTGTGTCTCTGTGCCATTCTCCTTGGCCATACACGTGCAGCTCGTCCCCTGGTTCCACCTCTCGGACGGGATTGTCGTTAGGCTCCAGATGCTGTAGACCCCGTCCCCGTCTACGGCTCCGGCATCTGCCTGGCCATCTGGCCCCTCCCTGGTGTCCCAGAGAACGCTCCAGGGGGAAGTGAAATCCGAGAGCAGGCAGAGCAGGGGCACGTCGTGGGGAAGCTCAGCATCCCCTGGGTCGGAGGGCACAAGGACGGAAAGTCTCGGCTCAGAGGCATCTAAAAGAGAGTCCCAGAAACTAGAGACTGGAAAGAGCTGCCAGCGATAGCTCAGCTAGTCCCCTGCCCTTAGCCCCCTCCCCATGAGCTCAGCATGTTTAAAATATCCAAGGCTTTGTCTGTGCCAACTGTCCATGTCTAACCCCTCCCCCCGATGCTGCTCGGAAGCTCATCCTGATTTGATCTTTGTGAGTTATTTGCTGAGGGTTGACAGCACCTTCGGTTTGGAACGAAACACAAGGGAAAAGCTGGTAATTGTGGTGGTGAAGGCACCAGCCTGAGAGCCAGGAGGGCCGAAATTCATTCCCAGCTCTGCCTGGCTGGGTCCCCTTGGAGGCAAGTTCACTTCCTGCTGTCTGTGCCTCAGTGTCCCCAATGATCAAATTAGGGCCATGATACTGGTTTAGAAATGATTCTCAGTCACCTTTGCAAGGTACTTTGAGATCTAGTTGTGGAAAGCCTGAGAGAGGCTTACCCCATTATGGATAGTTAAAAGAAGCAGATAAGGATCAGAGGATAGCAATTAGAGAGGGAGAAGACTAACACAAGAATCTACACAAAGAGTAGTTGGTACCTCCATTGTTTGTTTGGTTTATAATGTCCCACACTGCACATCTAGTAATTTGATCTATGCCATCAAATGCCAGCAATGCCCCACTGCTATATATATTGGACAAACTGGACAGTCCCTACGGGAAAGAATCAATGGACACAAATCTGATATACGTAAAAGGAACATACAGAAACCTGTTGGGGAACACTTTAATCTACCTGGTCACACTTTAAAAGATCTCCAAGTGGCTGTCTTGTTACAGACCAGTTCTACAAGCCAAATACACAGAGAGGTATTGGAATTACAATTCATCCACAAATTTAATTCTCACACCTATGGCCTCAATCTAGATAATGGAAGGCAGGGACATTATCAACCAAACAAACAATCAAGGTGCCCACAGCTCTTTGTCTGTGTAGATTCCTGTGTTAGTGCCCTACCTCTCTAATTGCTATCCTATGATCCTCATCTGCTTCTTTTAACTATCCAATTTTTAGGTACTTATAGATTACCAGTTTTGCCTATTTGGTTTTCCCTTTGATATTTACATACTCTCTACTTCTTGTTTCCTGCCCTCTTCCATTTTTTCCCAACCCTCCTCTCCCTTCTCCCCTATTTATTTTGGGTCTGGACATCCTAAACTCAAAACGCCGGTCATCTGAAGAAGTGGGCTGTGCCCATGGAAACTCATGATCCCATCTACATGTTTTGTTAGTCTATAAAGTGCTACCAGACCATTGGTTGTTTTTTTAAGTTTGTCCTGTACAGGCTACGACAAATCAGGAAAGAGGTCTTGGAGTTATCGTGGACAGTTCTCTGAAAACTTCCACATAGTGTGCAGTGGTGGTCAAACTCAGCTTTATCAAGAAAGGAATTATCAAGAAAGGGATAGAAAATAAGACACAGAATATCTTACTGCCCCTGTATAAAACTATGGTACGCCCACATCTTGAATACTGTGTACAGATGTGGTCTCCTCACCTCAAAAAAGATATTTTGGCCTTGGAAAGGGTTCAGAAAAGGGCAACTAAAATCATTAAGGGTTTGGAACGGGTCCCATATGAGGAGAGGCTAAAGAGACTGGGACTTTTCAGTTTAGAAAAGAGGAGACTGAGGGGGGACATGATAGAGGTATATAAAATCATGAGTAGTGTGGAGAGGGCCGATAAAGAAAAGTTATTTATTAGTTCCCATAATAGAAGAACTAGAGGACACCAAATGAAATTAATGGGGAGCAGGTTTAAAACTAATAAAAGAAAGTTCTTCTTCACACAGCATGTAGTCAACCTGTGGAACTCCTTGCCAGAGGAGGCTGTGAAGGCTAGGACTATAATAGAGTTTAAAGAGAAGCTAGATAATTTCATGGAGGTTAGGTCCATAAAAGGCTATTAGCCAGGGGATAAAATGGTGTCCTTGGCCTCTGTTTGTCAGAGGCTGGAGAGGGATGGCAGGAGAAAAATCGCTTGATCATTGTCTTCGTTGGCGACTGTCGGCAGACAGGCTACTGGGCTAGATGGACCTTTGGTCTGACCCAGTACGGCCGTTCTTATGGCTACCCATTAGAGCTTCTTTTCCTTTTACATTAATCCTGTCTGAAGCCCAGCCTTTACAGTGTCTGAAATAATTCCTAATTCATTCCCTTTCTTTTCACATGCACTCTTTGGAATGTAGTGCGGCTTAATAGGTACGTCATTCTTTGTCCATTGAATTTTCAGGTTCATTTTTATACTGTGCTGCTGGAGACAATGAATATTCCCATGGGTGAACCCTTGGGTGAAATCATTACATGGACCTCGGTGAATGTCTTGAAAAGAATTTGCATCCCATTCAAGTCATACAAGGTTAGCAGGGACAGGTGAAACATACCCCCCAGGCTTGGCTCAGGCAATTTCAGTCGGAATGATCAGCAAGTGTGACTAGCAAATCTGAGTCCTAATGAAACTTGTCAACGGGCAGGCAGGGAGATATAACACCTCGCACTGACGCAATGATTTTCATCCATAGGTCTCAAAGTGGAGAGAAATTAAAGGCCAAATTTTCCAAAATGTCCCAGATTTTCCAAAGCTTTTTTTTTGGTTGGTGCATTTTAAAAATCTGGCCATTTATTTAGGCACCCAGAGGGGAGCTGTTTGGTCCTGCAAAACCCTTAATTCCCCACCCCATGCCGTAAGTCACTGCCTGGGCTGTGCTACCTTTCCCAATGACTACATTGAAATGAGGATCCGTCACTCACAACTCATCACAACCTAGCCAAAAAATGATTATTTTCACACCACCTCCTAGCACAGTGAGAACAATGTTCCGACCCACCGGCAACTCACCTGTGACAACGAGTCTGGTCCCGTTCCCGAGATTGGGCTGTAAGTACACAGAGTCAGCAAGGCCACAGTAATAAACTCCCGAGTCATTCCTTTGAACGGTACTGATCACGAGAGAAAAAGTGCTTGCTGTCACGGTCACGTTACAGAAATATTTTTCATTTGAAGGTGCAAATTTAGAACACTGGTAAATCCACTGTAAACTTCCACTCTGTTGTTCTTTGTACCACATAACACGCCATTCCTTTTTAGGAGGTCTACAGTCCAGCTGTGCCGTCTGCCCGGAATTCAGCCACACTTGTGCTGGGCTTTGAAGGATTTGTATCCCTTCTTCCGAGGCAGCTACTGTACAGGAGAAGAAAGAAGTGTGTTAAGACAGTGAGCACTGGGAAAAAAATGGATTTTGCAGTGCACTCTACAGAGCAGGTAATCAAAGACTAACAAAATGTACGTTTCTGTGAAAGTTCTATTTTAATTTTTCTCTTTCTTGCCGATATTTTTGTTAGCATTCATGGTAGCCTGTGGGGGAATAAATGTAAGGTAACAAACAAACCTTAGAGTGTAAAACTCAGGGATATAGACTTCCATTTCATTGCCCTAATCACCAAACTACAGATTCCAACTCAAGCTAATGATCACAAACTATTTCCTAAATTGTACTTTGGCGAGTCTTTTATTAACTTAGCCACTTGTCTTTTGAATTCTCTTTTTCGTCATGCTGCAGAAAAACATACCAGTTTGTGTGTAATACATCAGCATGAAGGAAAATCAGATTTTGCACCTCAAGCCAAGATAGTAACTGGAAACTATCCTCAAGATGTTAGTGTATTGCATCCAGGTTTTAAAAACATCAAATATTTCATCACCTCCCAAGATCTGAATCGACGAACTAAAAGATGTGAATTTCCATCTCTTCAGGTAAATATTAGCAACATTTAGAACTGCAAAAAGTCCATGAGCACAAAGATAATACTTGTTAGCATGGTGGAAAAGAAGCAGAAAAGAAATCAAGTTAAAATACTTACCGTGCAGATAGACTAGAATCATCCCAAGTATCTGATGAGACATCTTGTGTCTTTCTTCAGTAAAGAATAGGTAATGTCTGGTTGTCTCAGCGCCTGCTAGCTAACGGATCTCTTGATGAAAGACTTTGTCACATGGGGAGGAAAATGTTCTATTTCCTTTAAAGATCTGTGGGCCAACATGCATGACAAAAGAAGAGGGCCAAGAGATATTAATAACCCCATTCAAATCTTATTCTTAGTACCAGCAGAGCAAACATGAGGGGAAAATTTTCCTGTGCTGCTAAAATCTATTACAGAAAAAATTCAAGCTTAGAGTGGGTAACAGCATGGTGTGTCTCAGGTGGAATATTTGTGTTAGCCTTGTTACAGGTAGCCAATTATTTCTTCTGAGTGCAATTCAGGTGGAATATTTTCTGTACTTCAGGGATTTATAATGTCAACTGGTATCAGGTTATTGCCATTTTATTGATAGTTTTCAGACAAGGCTGTGAGAAAGTATGTTAAAATTGTGATTTATCGATTTACATTTCCAGGGGGTTTTCTGGTCAAACTGGTATCAGGTTATTCACAGCCTTGTCTGAAAACTATGTTAAATCGTGATTTATCAATTTACATTTCCAGGGGGTTTTCTGGTCCTGCTTGCTGTCTGTAGGGAAGTGTGCAATTTGGGTCTGTCCATCGTCAGTCTGGCAAGCACCTGCTCAGAACAAGGCCGGGTGAGTTTTCCATCTCTCTTTTACAGAGCAGCCTGTTTTCTCATATGCAGTTTTTCGGTTATTTTTTTGGTAACGTTCTAGATTCTAAGGGACAAAAGCTCTCTTAGCTTGCAACCTTCCAGCCTGAGTCTCTGATGCTTTGATATAGCTTCTCTGTTTCTGTGCCACAAACGTAACCACCACCGAGAAGTATCTCATATGATTTAAGCCAAAGCTGGAGGAAACCATCCAACAGGTTCATTTGGCCCTCCTGAGGTGAGGAAAGAAGCAAAGACAAAACGTAGCCCGTGAGTTTAGTTTTCATTGCAGATTAAGGAAAGGACTGAGGATGAGGCCTTCTTTGAAAGCTGTGTGTGTGTGTGTGTGTGTGTGTGTGTGTGTGTGTGTGTGTGTGTGGGTGAGGCCTTCTTTGAAAGGTGTGTGTGTGAGAGAGAGAGAAAATGTGATGCACTATCCTTTGTGTGAAGTGCAAAATTACGTACAGGGAGAACAATGTGAAATGCCCATCCCGACTCCATCTCTTCTAAACAGTTTGTTGTTGTGTTTTAAGTTTTTTCTGGTTACAGATTAACTTGGCTACCCCCCCAAAGCTTCTAAACAGTTGTCACCCCTGTAGTCCGGAATACGGTACAGTCATCTCGGTGGTTTGTGTTTACGTGGATGCTAAGGCTCAGAGTTGCAAAGCTCCATCCAGGATTTGGTTGGCCAGATAAACTGGGCATGCAAACTGCCCTGTCAAACCTCAGCCTCAATACAATCCTGCTGCAGATTAGAGCCAGAGATGCCGTCGAGCTCGCTCTCCTGTTATCCCATCCGAACATGCTCTCCAGCCACATATAAACTGGCCCAGCCCGGAGTTTGCTCTAATCTGTGCTAGCCGTTAAAGACTCCCAAGGAGCTGTTTGCCCTCTGGGGATCCCTGAAAGCAAGAAGACCCGGCCCTGTTGGGCTGGAAGATCTGATCCTGCCGCATTCACATTCCTGGCATTTACAGCCAGTTCTGGCTTTCTCGGTGTCACGGGTGCAGCAAAAAGGGAGCAGGGTCTGACTTGGGTCTCAGAAGCGACAGGTTTGCAGAAGTGTGGGTGGTGCCGCTTAAACTCCTGCCCCTCACTTGCCTCGGGCTCTGGGCTGGGACAGAGAACGAGGGAGCAGGGAGCCGGCTCAGGGAGGGAGTTTGGGGATGAGGGGAGAGAGTGTAGGCTCTGGGAGGGAGTTTGGTACATGGGGAGAGAAGGCTCTGGCAAGTCCCTGCGGCCCGAGGTTGGCGGTGTGCTCCCACTGCAAGTCCTGGGAGCAGTGCATGGAGACACACGCTTGCCGCCACGAAGGCCACAGACTTGCCGGCCACAAGGTGGAGCCAATGGCAGGAAGCTGCTCTAGGCCTGCTGGTGGTGGCGGCAGGCAGAGGTCCTCGAGCCTTTTTAGAGGCCTGGGGACAGCAGCTGGGCCAGCGGACACATTGGCGGGAGCAGCAGGCGGGACTGGAGGATGCACTGAGGGGAGCGCGTGGGGCAGAAAGCAGGGCTGGGGAGAGACCCAGTTCAGAACATTGATAGAGCCAGACCATGGGCCAGAAATATTCCTGGTGCCTGGGCATCACGGGCCCATATCGCTCGCCACCTATGCCGGGTCTCCTTAATACCTAGCTCCAGGGGCAGATGGATGTGGTGCAAAGACCGCTCCTGGCCTTACGAGTTCCCTGTGAATTTGGCACAGAGGAGAGGAAGGAGGGTGCGGTGATCAAGGTGGTAGCTAGGGACTCGGGTGAAATCCCTGCTCTGCCACAGGCTCCGTGTCTGACTAGGCCACTCGGTGACTTCCCAGGGACTTTCAGGTGCGTTCAAGATTGCAGTGCTTTAGTGGGACTCTTCCTCCCGAGTCACGGAGGGGCTTTTGAACATGCTGCCCCAAGTCTCTCTGACCCTCCAGTGCCAGGATGGCCATGTGGACCGGGTCCCAATGTTCTGAGCCAGACCTCTCCCTGGGACAGGACATGGTGCAGCAGGGTGGTCTCGCTCTCCAACCTCTCCTGTGGCCCCTGCTCCCTCCTTTTCTTATGGTGATTCTCTGTACGTCTGCCTGAAATTCATTGACAATTGCCACGATGAAACTGTAGCACTAACTATAGCAGAAATCTAGCCACATTGGGGCACAGGTATCTAAATCACTTCACAATCAAATCTCGTACTCAGTAGCGATTTAAGCACTTGGTACTCCAAGTCCTCCAGACTTTTAATGGTATCTAGGCTCAGACAAACCAGATTTCAAGGTATTTAGGTGCTTAAAATGGAGATCGGCACTTAAGGAGGTTTTCAAAATCAGTGTGAGTTAGGTGCCTAAGTCACTTGGGCACATTAGGGCAAATTGGCAAGCTATCACCCCGGTCACTCTTAACGGCTGCAGATTCATTTTATGCTTCATCTTCCCCCCGTTCCAGTGTATGAAAAAGCCAAGACAAAGCGACTGCAAATACTTTTTATTGCATTTTTGAATTACGTTTTATTAAAAAAAATTGAAATGGATCTTAAAAAGCCACAGGCTCCAGGGCAAACAGCCATGAGGACTGCAAAGGACCAGACTAGTAAAAATATCTGAACCGTCTGGTGAGAACATTGTACTTGCTGCTGAGGTCAGTTCCAACCCACGTATTTTGCCACCTTACTTTGTTCCGTTAGTAACGTATGTGGGCTGATGGATTGTACAGATCTCACTCACTCTGGTTGGCTGCCAAGGAAGTGTAAATTGTTCTCCCAAATTCATCTGCAGCCAGTGGATGATTAGTTCCTTAAATCTGTGCAGCATTGGAATTTACTATTCAGCGCATGAAAGAAATAAAACATTGTAGCATAAAACAGAGACCGAGAGAAAATGTATTAGTCACTAATAACCCACTGTGCAGTGTTACCTAGTGGATAGAGCATTGGACAGAGAATTGTATTCTATTTCTGGCAGTGCTGCCAGGTGATCTTGGGTAACTCTCTTCCCCTCTCTGTGCCTCAGTTTCTACATGGGGATAAAGTTATTGACCTCCTTTGTAAAGCACATTGGGATCGACGTATGATGAGCCTAGAATTATTATGATAAATGAGGAGCCAAATACCATGCGCAGGTATCAAAGCATTAATCTGGGTCTGGGTATAATTCAAGGTGTAGGCAGTTCTAATGCTGCTGTAATTCTGTGAAGGCCTTGTTTACACTTGCAGGTTTTGTCAGCAAAAACTCCTTTTTGGCAACAAAACCTGGAGAGCAATCAGTCATGACAAACGCCCAGTTTTGATGACAAAAAAAATTCCACCTCCGCATGAGACTATTGTCTCTCTCCCTGCCTTTGTTGTTGGCAATTGTGCAGTGTGTACTACAGTAGGGTTTTTTGTTGAGTTTATTGACCTCCAGCATGTTTCCCACAATGCCCGGTTAGCCCCTCTGGCCAGCACTTTGAACTCTGCTGCTCTGCAGCCATGTAAACAGGTAAGCAGATGCAAGAACTTTAAAATCCATTTCCTGGTGTCTAGCTTGTTGTGTAGTGGTCCTCATGGCATCTTCTTGAGGGTGGCAGTTGCTCAAGACACTCTCCTGCTTGGAGCACCACAGAGGTTTTGGATCTTTTCGGCGTGTGAGGTGAAACCACGGCGGTGAGAGACCCGGAGGGGCTGGGACACGTGCGGTCACATTTCTCGAGCCCTGTGTGAGCGAGACACCCCACGGCGCAGAGCCAGAAACAGGAGCTGTCCTGGAGACAGAAGTCATTGATGAAGTGGTGGAAACGGAGAAAGGGGTTAGGCTCAATCTGTGCGCCAGGCAGGGAGGAATTGTTCTCAAGTCCCAGTGTTTGTGAGGATGCTCAGCAACGGTATGTGCAGCATGAAGCAAGGGAAGAGAGGCAGGGTAAGTTAGCTGTGCAGGGCGGGAGGGCGGTCTGGTTGCTGGCCATGCAGGGCGGTAAGTTGTTCTAGTGCAGCGGGGGGAAAAGGGGTGGCTATGTGGGGCGGTTAGTTGCTGTGTATTGCAGTGGGCTGGAGGAGGGGGGGTGGCCTCTTGAGAAATTGCCCTTTTATTCGGGAGAGGAGGGGAGTGGCAGCATGGGGTGAACGAAGGCTGTATGTGTGGGCATTGGCTAAGCCCTTCTTGGGTCTGCATTATGTCCAAACAGCATCGATGTGCACCCAGAGATATCAATAGAATCTTACTGGGAGATGGTGTCGAAGCTTTGCCAGATGTAACGTATCAATTTCCTCATGGAGACCCTGTGGCAGGGCCCCCCCACCCCCACGGCTGTAGTATGACACAATCCCAAACCATTCCTCCTACTGTGCTGCCGGAATCAAGGCAGCACAGAGTCTGGCCGCATAAGGAGCGGGATGCCCCCTGCTCCCATCCAGAAGCTGAGCCCGGGTTTGCCGGTTACCCTGCAGCAGGGATGTGTCAGCCAGAGTAATGGCCGCCTGTGGTGATGTGTAGAATTATTACAAATTGTTTCCATGTACACCTGCTGCACAAGTGCAGACTGTACTTTCTTGGGGACTCATGCCCAACCCTCCTTTTCCCTCCTCCCTTTACCACCACCTTTGACTCTCACTGCGATCAGGGGGTCTGGAGAGATCTGTGTTTGCCTCTCAGGTAACAAAAGTGGCAAGTGACTGTCACTGTGACCAGGGGGTCTGGAGAGATCTGTGTTTGCCTCTCAGGTAACAAAAGTGGCAAGTTTCATTCCGAGATGTGCATATGAGCGCATGCTAAAGCTCATGGAAGACCAAAATGAGGTGCGGAGGTGTCTTATCAAGATGCAGCGCAAACACAGCCCAAGGTCTCACTGTCAACACATGCAGAACTCTTTTCATGCCCACATATCATCCTCTATGGCCGCACAGCCATAATTCTTATCCAGCAACCCTCTGTCTGCACCACACACTCATTTTCACACCCGTCACTCCGGCCTCTGTGGAAGCCTGAAATATCCCTTGGGTGTCATGGGAATGCCTCGCTCAGGATGAGCGCCC